CTCAGTGACCAACATGGTCATGCCAAATTTTAAAAAGTTTAGGATTAGTAAACTTCTGGTTCATAACTGCATAGACTTCAACATTCTTCAGGAATGTGTAATATAACCCTGATGAGAGAGCAGGGAGTTTTTCTAGTATATGCTTCTGGCATGAAATATTAGCAGTGATGCATAGCAACTCCATCATTTTCACTTAAAGTATATCTTTGAAACTAAGCAAATTTCTTCTGGATTCGCTAGAATATAAAGCATCATGGATACTTAATTTAATTCCTCTTGGTGACACGAGTGTTGCTCTTCCGAAACCCTCAATTTTGTTTGTAGATCCTGATATGGCATTTATTTTAGTCTCAGTAAAGGTCAAACCTGAGAAATATTTTCTATCCCGAAGGATAGTATGCGTTGTTGCACTATCTATTATACAAATGTCTCCAACATTACTAGATAATTAGTAATGATGTTTACTGAACTTTATCTTCATGATATGGAACTTCAGGTCCAATTTTTGTCTCTATTTTACAAACTTCATGTTTGTAATTAGTATTTAGAATTTCAAGTTCTAAAACTATATTTATTTATGGAACTTCAAGTTCATTTATCCAATATAATATGGAAGCATAATTGCTAACATTGGTTATCAAAAATATGATAAAAACATATCTAACCATAAAGATTGTATGTAACAAGAATAAACAGATCCGACCATGAAGGTGGTATTCAACAATAATAAATAGGTCCGATCATGAAGGCGGTATATAACAATAATAAATAGTCTAGCCATAAAGGCGGTATTTAACAATAATAAATAGATTCAACCATGAAGGCTGTATTAATAAATAATAAATAATAAATAGATTTAGGCATAAAGGCGGAATTTGATGATAATAATTAGATCCAACTATAAAGGTGGAATTTAGCAATAATGAGTAGTTCCGACCATAAAGGCGAAATTTAGCAATAATAAATAAATCCGACCATGGAAGCGAAATTTAACAGTAATAAATAAATCTGACCACAGAGGCGAAAACAGAGATTAAGGAACACATGTGGGATCGAAAATACATGGAATTTAATGATAATAAATAAATCTAGCCATAAAAGTGGAGGTGGAAACAGGGATTAAATAACATTTGTAAGGTTGAAAATACGTACTTTCAGTAGGCATGCACCGTTACACTTGATAAGTTCTTCGTGTTGATAACGTGTTATAATCTTAGTGGTGTAAGTGTAATAGATTAAGGAAGACAAAATGTTTAAGAAAGTAAAATCGAAGGGGGGGTCGTAATTATCTTCTTTTCTTTTCACTTCATTGTAATGTTAAAAATGAAGGGGAGGGGCGCTTTTTATAGCCAATGCTCCCTCCTCCATTCACCACCTCAAAGTTAAGGCGGTGGATGTACATATTTTACAACAATTAAAAGATTTTCAACTATACTAGTTGAAAATAAGACTATTTTGGGTAATTTTGATGTTTACTTACATGACTTTAGTACATGTGCAACATATAAAAAGGCACCATGTAAGTAGTAGCACTCTTTTTACATTTTTTTTTTTTTTTTTTTTAGTAATAAACATCTTACAAAATTGTTTGTTAGACTTCACAATGATATTCAATTTTATTTTAGGGGTGTTTGGTTGGGGGTTACCTCATTACTGAGGTAATGTTATTTTATATTACTTAGATTATCACGTTTGGTTGTCAAGTAATATAAAATTCTGGTAATCTTCCAAAACCAGTAGTAATTACTGTTGGTTATATATGAGATAATTTGATTACTTACATTTTCTTAGGTATTTTTAGATTACTTGATAATCTTATTTTTGTTACAATTTCAACCTCAACTACTAATTTTTTTGGACAATAATGCTCTTATTTTGAAACAATTTACAAATATATTCATGGACTATTTTATCCTTATATACAAATTTTTTAGGACATGAATACCCTTGAACTTGAACAAAATTACCCAAGATTGGTGGCTGAATCTGGCCACCACTGACAATGGTTGAAGGCCGGCTACCATAGTAGGAGACGAAACGACATATGAACGACAAAATATATAAGAGAATTCGAACTCGGCTTGCCTGCTAAGTTGAGCTGCTCAAGCTTGAACTCGGCTTGCCTGCTAAGTTGAGCCGCTCGAGCTCAAGCTCGGCTCGACGACCAACACCCTTAGCCTAAGCAGGTTAAATACTAGGGAACCCCCCTAATTGTCAAGATACGTATTGGGTTTAAGCAAGGGTTTTTGGGCTTGAAAACAAAACCGTGAAGGGTTGCGCTTTGAAGTAGGGCCACTCAGGCTGCTGAAGTGAGCAATATCTTAACGATGTTGAGTTGGCTATGGGCCAGGGTGTTACAATTGGTATCAGAGCCAATCCGAACCGAAAGTATGTGGATAGTCAAGAAGTCTCGCCTAGCCTAAGAAGGATCGCAGCGAGGACGTTGGATCCTAAGAGGGGGGCATTGAGACATCCCACATTGCTTGGGAAGGAAGGGCTTGAACTGGTTAAATACCAAGGAATCTCCTAAATGTCAATACGCGTTTTGGGCTTAAGACTTTTGAGCTTGAAAACAAAACCATAAAGGGGCTGAGTTTCGTAGTCGGGCAACCCAAGTTGCCAAAACGGACAATATATTGAAAGTGTTGGGCCAGCATTGGGTGGAGGTGTTACAATAAGTATCAAAGCCAATATATTGACAACCTACATCACTTGGAAAGGAGGGCCTGAGCTAGTTAAATACCAAGGAATCTCCTTAAATGTCAAGATGTGTTTTGGGCTTAAGTAAAGATTTTTGGGTTTGAAAATAAGACAGTGCAGGGTTGAACTTCAGAGTCGGGTCATCCAAATTGTTAAAGCGGATAATATCTTAATAGTATTTGTTAGTAAACGGTCCCATACACGCAACGGAAACAAAAAAAGTAATTATGGGATCGTTTACATGAGCCAAGATCAAGGGTATAATTTTACAATTTATATTAAATAAAATATGCAGAAAAATAAATTTGAGTTTAAAGAAAACAAACGCACGTTGGAGGCTCCTCCACATTTGTCGATGAATGTTTTGCTACCGATCCAAGTGTAGGATCGAACCTGCGTAGTCCGCACGAAGACAATCTCAAAAGGAACCAAAGAGGGATTTGCTAGATCCTCTTTGGCTTCAAGATTAAGAAGAAAGCAAATCAAATTGAATTGATTTCTAAGCAAAAGTGCTTCTGCCGTAGGAGTGTATTATCAAAGAGGGGCTGCTGTGTTTTTCAAAGAAAAATCCTATATCATTTAATTAACACATTTTTCTTTTTATAGTTAATTAAGTTGCCTTAATCCCATACGGAATAGGCTTGGGCTCCAACCCAAACGCCCCATGTTGCCAAACACTCCCAATTTAATATTTTATTTTCCATCATTATCTCAATTAAAATAAATTAATATATATATATATATATATATATTAACATTTAACAATAATGATAATATATATTTAAATATGTGCGAACACACATTTAAACGTAATTTCATTTATTTAATTTTTCTAACAAATTAAATAAAGGCTACGACCTCAGCAAATTTAATTGTACTATGAAATTACCAAAATACCCTTTCGGCTTAAAAACGAAAACCGCCATTCTTTCTTCTTGGATCTAAATTGTCTTCTATGTGTGTGACCCATAGGCTTCTCATCATATCGACAGTGTATATTGTCGCGATTAACACCAATTAATCGTCTCACTAATACACAGACCAAGATTAGCCCCTAGCAAGGCATTATGGCTACCCGATAGATTCAAATCAGCAAAGTAGCTACCTGTCAATGATATGGTTACTGTGCAATTCGATCCTTTCATCATACGTTATCTCGACGAGACGAAGACATAGAAATAGTGTCAACCTTCGGTTACTCTCGATATTATTTACTTAGTTTCTGGACAAATGACCCTGTATTAAAAACTGGATAGAGCAACACCTCAATCTCACTGTGGCCACAGTTTTAGTGTCATTGCCATATACTGAATAGCTGTGGATAACTTTCTCCCATACCCGGGATTGATGAATCCTCTGTCTCCACCATAGTCTTGATACACTCCTTGATGCAGTCAATCACCATCGTATTGACAGCTCGAAAAGAACTACTTTACTAGCGTCAAAACTCCACCAATCGCTGCACAAGGCGCTCCAGTGATCTCAAGTCTAAAGATCCACATGTACTACCATTCGTTAGAGGATTTATTCCATACACTGGGGTTACCATCCATATGGAATTCTCTAGTGGGTCGTCCAGTGAACTTGTTGCGGTGTACCACCTACAGCAAACACCCTGTGTTGCACCAAGTTGTCACCAAACAACCTTTACAAGTGAGATCAGTCATTGCCTTTCGACAGGGTCGTTTAACACTATGATACCCTTACCGTATTATCTGTGCCCTTACTTCAGAATAATACTGGGGCTATGGACGTTTTTATAATGGCCACCATATGTGCTCATAGGGTTCTCACTATCAAGATTTGAAACACTTGATACTCTCGTCACGGTTCTACCATTCTAAGGACATATATCAATACATATTGTAATAATAATGATTTACGCGATATAGAATAAAATACCTTTTATTGATTAATGAACATTATTACAAAAAGTCAATTCTACAATAATTGATTGACTCTAGAGTATCTACTCTAACAGTATTGGGCCGGTTGTGGGTTGAGGTGTTACAAATAAAACTCACTATTGACATTTTCATACTTTCTGGATTAATTTTTGAGTTGCTGTATAGTTTTTAAGAGTTTTTCTTTTTTCTTTTATCTGTAGTCTGTATAAACTCCTGCTATCAAAGTAATCCTTCCGGCTTCCAATTTCCAACACATGATAAAAACCATTACTCATAAAAAAAAAAAAAATAAAAAAAAAAAAATAAAAATTGTAAGAGAATAATCACTAGAATTTGATTTTTGGGAATTATTAATAAATAAATAAAAAAAACTCATTATAAATAAACCCCAAGAGTCCAGCAAACAGATCCAACTCACCGAACTCGAAGACTACAAGGACGAACATGTCCATTTAACCAATTTGATTACCTTTAACTTGAAGTTAACACTCCGATCAGGGGAAGATAACTACGTCAAGTAACAGTCACAGACGCAGACCACTTATCTCTGCCACCACCAATCGTTCGTCGCCAGTCCACCGCCATCCACCGAGTTCAAAATTCGATCTAAAACTGATTTTCGTTCTTCTATATATATATTTTTTTGAAGTTTGATTGCAGCCTCTAGATTTCTCATCATGAACTGCGAAGTCTGCCAACTCAAAGAACTGGTAATTACAATCAACTTCTCAATCAAGAACTTATTTAGCTTGATATGTTGTGTTGATTCTCTGTTCGTTCATAAATTAGTAGAGTTTTAGTTTGTAATAAATCTATCCTGTTTAATTGTTTATAGGAAGTCGAACACTATGAATTACGCGAAGTTTTACGCTGTAAGTTGCCATTTAGCTATATCTTTTTATGCTCAAGTTTTGTTTTATCGTTTTCAGATTTCATATTTGAGTTAATTTGAGTCCAATTTAATTTAATTTTTTTGTTAGAATATATATATATAGTTCTGCACTAGCGGAAGGCGTTGTGCACTGTCATATTTCTTTGTGCTATTAGCTTGTAAATACAATTCATTTACATTGATTTGCACCATCATTGTGGCGAATACAATCCATTCACATGGTGCTGCACAATTAACTGAGTGAATATACTTTATTCACCATAAGCGCAAGCATGTAGCTTTTGCACAGGTGATTGAGTTTTAGTAGCCATGCCATTTTGGTGTGGCATGTGAGTGATTTGGCCAACTAGAGCTGTGCTATATGTGTGTGTGTGAGAAACTGAAGTCGCAAGGTTATACTGGTGGCAGGCATATTACACACAATTGTGTTTCAACGGGCATTAGGTCTTGTGCGGCCTAAAGACATTGATCTAGAACTGTTTGAAATCACATATGTAAGCAATTCTGATTTACTGCCTAACTGTGTGAATTTTGTGTTGTGGAGCGGAAGAAATGATGCTTTGATTATTTTTTAATGGTTTTTGGATGGTTCCTGTATCGTTGTATAATAGGTGCAATGTGGGGATGCAGAGGTTGAAAAGAAAATAGATGAGAAGATTGAACAATTCATAAGTTGGGTTGAAAAACACCCCAACAAGAAAAGCCAGGTGGGTCTTGAGTTTAATTTGGTGTATCTTTTAGTTTGTTGGTATTTTCATATACCTCTAATTTCCACATGATGTAATGTTTTCCAAGAACAATAGTCAGCCAAGTTTGTTAATGTTGATTGTGTTTTTGCATGCGATACCTTAGTAGGGACATTCACATTTCAACCTCTTTTGATTTTATGAACTATTGTTTTTCCATGGGCATGAAGAATCTGGTTAAGGATATCACATGTTGAATACTCTTTTCAGCGAGAATTTAATTTTTGTCACTTGCATATTGTGACAGATGTAAGTTTTTTGTTACGATTTTAATTATGGGCACTTCTTAACTTATTTTGTTATTTGCATGTTGCTGAATTTAAATGTTGTTTACATATACCTTTGCATTTTACACTTCATTTTACTTGTTGTTGAGGTTCATCATCTACTTTGTTAGTTTCTCATCATTTTTAATGTTTAAGAGTTTACTGATTTATGGATTAACAATGCAGATATGTTTATCTTTCTATGAAGTCAAAAGTAAACAGCCATCATGGTTCACTAACAAGATTGAACGCCTATATTGGGAACAGTGGTATGTGAACTTGAATGTGTCCCAACTCCCAAGAGCACATTCTATTAAGTCTCGTCATTCCAAAGTTGTTGATCCTGGAGGTATATATCGCCGTTTCACATTTAACGTAAAGAATTTCTAAATTTCAGTCTCTAAATGGAATTTCATTTCCATTTACCTTTGTCTTGCCTGTGAAAACAGAGAGTGCATCTGAGGAGAGAAGTGCTCGCAGGCCAGCACTTGAAGCTTCTCTTCGCGATGTTTTATTTCAAATAATAAAATTTGTGAACGAGAAAAAGGACCATGTTCCCCCTATATCTGAGGGTGTCATTTATTTTCCATTTGAAATAACTATACCAAGGTCAGCTGCCCTTTTTGCTTTTACCTGATTTAGCTAGATTCCTAGCATACTTTTGTGTTCATTATGTCACTTATCACACATGTTGTGTATGTGGAAAGCGAGATTGTTTGCGTGTCTTTCTTGAATGCCGTACATCTCTTGCTTTTATACATATCTTTATTTCCTTGAACTATATCTATGTGATGCAATGCCTTACATTTGGATGAGTTTTTGTTATTGTTGTGGCAACAATACAACGCCTTCAAAATTGCATGACATGTACTTGAGAATTTATGTCATGGATTTTTTTCATTTAACAATGTTTGTTTGTCTTGTTAATATTTTTGCAGAAAAAGATCACTTGAAAATTTTAATCTTGTATTTGATGGAAGAAAAATAGTGTTCAAAGTTGCTCTTAGGTGAGATGAAAAAATGGACGAGACAGTATTCAACAGAATCCTTGTATAAAAATTGCTATTATCTTTGTTTACCACACTTGGAGGTTGGTGGTTGTCTTTCTATATAGGTCTTTATATTGATACTGCTTGTAATCGTAACTTTTTTCTATTTTATGCATTACCGTTTCATGGGTTATTTGGGCCTTATAATTTGCTTCAGAATAGGTTTATGCCTACAATTGAAAAAGAGGGTTGAGGTAGTATTTAAGGACTTATTATGGTGGTTGAAGGCTGCTGGCATCTTGGAATGCCGGTAACAAGGAGAAATAAATACAGTTAAGTAGAATAACTTATTTTGAGCAACATCATGTCTGATACTACAGTTTATATGAGGTCCAGAATTCGGAGTGAATGTACTGACTAGCAGAAGTTCTAATGTGAATCATACCATAATTTTTATCTCTCTCTCTGATCATTTTGGTCCAGCATCTCTGATTGTTTAATCACCCAGGTAAGATCTAATACATATATCATCTGGCACAGAATTCATCTTTAGAATATTGGCATCCTGACATTGCATTGTTGAGATTGCACTATGATAATTGTGCTCTAATTAATTTCTTTGGAGTAACGTAACGGAAGAATCATCAGTTTAAACTTTCACTATGCTGATCATGACTCCAAATGCTAAAGTTTCCAAACAAAGAGATTATTCTTATTCTTATAATTTTCTGCTGAGAAAACCTAGAAGACTTTTGCAAGGGAAGACTGCACAGCATAGTTTGTTATTTATGCTTTTAGGAATACAGTTTCTTTAAGAGAATTGAATCGTAATAATGCACAAAAATGTGTGTGATTAAAGTAATATTCTGGAGTGGGTTAGAACAATCATTTATTGGTTCTTTTTTTTTTTTTTTTTTTTTAATACTAGTAAAAATGTATCCAATGCATATTTTGGTTTGAATTTATTTTCTATTATTTATTGGGTTTCTTTATGTGCATAAAAATCTAACTAATGCATATTTTGGTTTGAATATATTATCTTTTTTTCTTATAATTGGCTTCTTGGTATTTGCATATATAACTAGTAAGTCCGAACACAGTTGATTGCTTAGCATATGATTAAGAAATCTGAATTCACAACCTTTAGGGCAGATGTGTAACCTTTCCCAACAAAAGAAAAAAAAAACAAAAAAATGGTCAAATGAACTACTATAGCGTCTCATGCAAATGATAGTAATCTGTTTTACTGCTTTCTGTTCATGCCACCAACCAAATGATCCCTTCTCCTTTTTAAATCGAGCTAGCAAGATAAATTATTCTTAATGCATGTGTTGCCTGTCTTATTAGAAATTATTTCTTGCAGTTCATTGGACTCTGCTTTTGGGATGGATATGATAAAGAGAATGCTGCAGACTGGGCATCCAACCATGCTTAGCTGATGGAAGAGTTGGGTAGCTGATACACTTTTAAATAAAAAAAGATAAAATAATCCCCCATTGATTACAAATCCCTATTTCAAGGAAAGAGTCGAGGTAAAATAGTAATTTGATTTTTCTCATTAATATATTACTGTCTGCAAAACATGAATATTGGGGTTTTTGGTGTTGTATATAGAAGCAAATCATTGGTGGATGTTGAAATGCACCTTTATATTTTCCTGTACACGGTATTCTGTTACTGGTTCAATAAATGAGAGCCATGAACTATGATGTTGCCTTTTTCTTTTTTAAATTGCAAGTTTAATAGCTCATAGCTGTAAGATTAGCTTCCTTTGTTTATACTGGGTAATTACCAGCAGCTATCACAGTTGTTGTGGACATTCTTGGCCATGTTTGGCTTATTATTTTTATCCATATTCTCAATCCTATTCTCCAAATAATGTTTGGCACATTATTCCAGAAATATTACCCAATTTTTTTTAATTACTTTTAGACCCCATAAGGTTATTAATTTTATCAAATACACCCTAAAAAAAAAGTTTAAAAATTATTAAAAACACCCCCGCGACCCATACTTGCCAGATTCCGGCAACCACCGTTGGTGGTAGTCGGAATCTATACAACGGCCTACTTAATGACCATAAATGGCTGGAAGTTCACCGATCTGGCCTTTTTCGGCCAGATCCACCACGGATCTAGTCGGAAAAGGCTAGATCTAGCTGTAAAATGTCATTTTATATGTTGGGGTATTATTAAATTAGCAAACTTAGGGGGTTTTTTTATAAATTTTTAAATTTTACCTCGTAATACTCCCATATTCAATTATCTAATACTATCCTCAAAATCTTATCCAAAATAATAAACCAAACGCCCTTATTATCAATTATGAGCGGAATTTAATTTCATAATAAAATAAGTGAGCTGTGAGCTGTAGAAGTGTTAATTTGCAATTAAGACTTGAGTTATCTCTGTTTGCAACTAAGATGCTAGGGCCTTTGAGATACTGTAACCTTTTAAAGTTTTACTAGTTAATCTAACAAAGGCATATATTAAAAATAAAAATCGCTATTTGATGCATTTCCTAAATCATTTCTCAACATTCTACCATGGCTATCCGTCGATATTTGTTTAGTTGGATGCTAGTGCTTGGGCTTTAATAGCATGTGACATGTATTAAATTATTCATGGAGGTTAGTTTGGATTGTTGGGCCAACTAATCTTTTAGGGTGCGTTTGGTTTATGGATTGTTGGATTACTGGAAGGTAACATTTGGTTCGGGATGATATAAGATTAATCATGTAATCTTTGTTTAATTTTCAAGATTCTCTCGTTTGGTTATCAATTAATAAAATATTACGTAATCTTTTTTTGCAAATAGTGTTTATTGTTGGTAATATTGGGGGTAATCAGATTACCTTCCCAAGGGGTGTTAATATAAGATTACTGAGATATTCTTAATTTTGATCATATTTTGCCCTTAATCTTTTATCATTTCGGACACATTTGCCCTCATATGTCTACCAAATAATAATTACCCAGACCCCCTACATTTGAGAATTTAGCTAAAATACCTTCGCTATAAAAAAGTTTAAAAGTTAACAAAATACCCTAAACCATCCAAGACTACTGTCGGCCACTAGCCACCACCACTGGCCGCCGGCGAAAGTCGTCATATCGGCACAAGAGTAGCAGGATCTTGTCGGTCGTGTACCGGTAAAGACGTCTGGCCATGGATTTGTGATCCATGGCCGGAAATGGCTAGATTTGGCCATTTCATGGCCAAAGATGTGGCCGTGAAATGCCATTGATCTGGCCATGAAAAGGCCAGATCTGTGGCCGTTTCACGACCATATATTTGGCCGTGAAACAGACATATTCACGGCCAGATCTAGCTATGAAACAGCCAGATCTGGCCGGATTAGGCCTTACAGGCGCGCGACCAGCTAGATCCGGTCAGTTGTGTGCCATTACGGTGGCTGCTGGCGGTGGTAGCTGGCTATTGACAATGGCTGGGGGTGAGTGGGGGTGATTTTGTTACAAATTAAAATTGTATATGGTTGGGATGTTTTAGCAAAATCTCAAATATAGGGAGGTTAAAAGAAATAATTTAAAAAATAATAGAATAAAATAATAATATATTATTATTTAAAAAGGAGGGCAATTTAGTAATCTACATAACATACCCACTCATTTATTCTCCCAACCAAACATATTATTATAACATACTCACCAATTTATTCCAATCGACTAAACACATTTCTTTAAAGATTCCCTAGTAATCTATATTTCCAGTAGTACAACATTCCTCAGTAATATAACATTCCCTGAACCAAACGCATCTGAAATGTTATATAAATGGAAAATTATATTACCTTGAAGATTACTGAGAATCTTTAGGAAAATGTGTTTGGTTAGTTGGAATAAATTAGTGAGTATGTTATATTAATATGTTTGGTTGGGAGGAATAAATTGGTGGGTATGTTATTTAAATTACTAAATTGCCTTTTTTTTAAATATTAATATAATATTATTTTTATTATTAATTTTTGAATAATTTCTTTTAACTCCCAACATTTCAGATTTAGCTAAAATGCCTCAGCTTATATAAAACTTTAATTTATAACAAAATCACACCCACCACCTTAAGCCACTGTCGGCCACCGCCATTTGCTGTCGGAAGTCGTCGAAAGAAGTTGGAAATCACTATGAGTAGCCCACCATCACCAGGAGGCTTCGATATGGCCATATTGATGGCCCAAAACGACCATATCAGAGTAGATATAGTCGGAAATGGCCATAATAGTTTTGTCCATTTTCAGCCAGATCTACTCCGATATGGAGGTTATCAGATTACCTCTAATATTACTAACAACAACTACTGTTGGTATTAAAAAATTATCAGAATCTAATATTACTTGACAACTAAACGTGGTAATCAAGTAACATAAAATGACATAACCTTACTAATCCTATATAACCCTTAACCAAATGCCTCCTTAGGGGTATCTTTTCTAATACATTAGGCCTAAACCATTATGGTACACCAAATCATGAGTCTTGTTTTTGTTTTCTAGAAAATAAATGGGTTGCTTTATACACACACACACACACACATTCACAAACCATTCTTACTAACTTTTTCTCACAAATGCGACGTATCAGCTCACAATGAGTCATGCCTACCTAATAATAGGTCTCATCTGACCATATACGAACTGACTAATTACGAGCTATCACGTCAACGTTGTTGAAAGAAAGTTGTAAGAAGTGTTTGTCAACATATATATATATATATATATAGATAATATATTATAATATATATATTATATATATTACCTTATGTATATATATATTACCTATGTAATTATATATTTAAATAGTTGAATTACGAATTAATATTACAAATTGATACCCCAATTTTCAATTTCAGATGTTAAATTTAATAGTTAAAATATAAGCTTCTTCAACCTAATATTTTTCACAATTTTCTCAAAAAAAAAAAAAAAAAAAATCTAGCAAGGCCATGGCTGTCAGTTGCTGCAAGGCCTACCAGGTCATCACCATCGCAGCTAGCCATGGCCATTGTGAAACAGAGCCACGCCAGCGACAACAGTAGTCAGTAGCTGACCCCTCGGCCCTCGGCCCTCGCCCCAAGGCCCCACTCACCTGCCCAACTTTCATCATCACTTTCTTTCTATCACATCTTTGAATTTTGAGATTTTTAACTGTGTTTGATTTTAAATGTGGTTTGCGTAGTTTGACTAACCTTAAATTAGATTATGTTTTATATTTGAATTTTAGAGTATACTAATTTAATAAATTTTTTATTAACTATTTTGTATATTGATTTTGTAATTTAATTCATCATCAATCACAAAATTTGTGTATTGGAAGTATTAAATACAGTAAAACCTCTTTATAGTGATACTCTATATAGGAATAAACTTTACATAGTCATAAAAAATTATATTCCTAATTTGAGATAGTTATAAATCAGAATAAACTCCACATTGTAATAAGTTATACTTTTTCTAATTCCCGTCTTAAGGAAAGTTGTCTCCACATAGTAATAATTATATGTATATTGTAAAAAAAAATATGCTATGTTACATTAAAGGTTGACAATAATTTATGCTTTAGAGTTGTTACCACATCTTTTAACTTGTGGGTACATTACTCGCTAGCATGAACATTTTCTTGTTGAAGCCAAAATATTTGTAGCCTCTCGAGCATGTTTAGAGCTTCTTGGTACGAAGCTTTTTGTATTTCCGTACTATCCTCATAATTATTTCCTTTTTCTTCTTGTCTAATCGTAGCAATGATTTATTCTTCTGTTAAAGCATACATGACTTGTTGCTCATTTGGATGATTAAGGAAGACATTAATATCCATTTGATTAATGTAGTGAAGTTGTCGAATCTGATCACTCAATTCTACAATGACTTTTTGATTCTTCTCATTCACTTCAATTGTAACTTGCAATTCATCAACATCGGGGGTCTTAATTTTATAATGCTTAAAACAATTGGCAATTGTCTGTGGCTTTACATCAATTGACCATGCAACAACTGCATTTACAATTCCATCAAAGAATCTTTATTGGTTCTAAGACACGATCTTCTATCCGTTTCAAAAGTAGGCAATTGAAGCGTTGAATTGAAACTCTAATACTATTAAAACATGAATTGAAATCCTAATATTATACTACTAAAACATGAATTATGAAATAAGAAATCTTTGTAACTAAACCTCTATTTAGTTATAACCTCCTCATAGTAATAAAATTAATTAATCCTACCATTATGACTATAAAGAGGTTTTACTGTATGTATTAACTGTTTAGTTTGTTTTAGTTTTGTTAATACATTCAGTTTAGTCTGTTAGTAAAGTTGTTGGTCAGTTATTTAACTTAGTCAATTTAGTTAACTCAAGTTAGTAGTTAACTATTGTTATCTTGTTGTATATAAAGAAACCTTACGCATCAATAAACGCGTGGATCATTATTCTTTCCCAAATACACTCTTCTCTGTTTCATTTCCATGTAAATCAACATGGTATCAGAGCATAGAAACCTTCCGCATCTTGATCAAAATCAGTTCAATTAGGGTATGTTTTTACTTTAATCAAGTCGAAGAAGCTTAATCTTCTTCAATTTCTCACAAATTCTTTAGGATCTAGCTCGATAGCTTTTCTTCTCTCAGCTCGATTTTCGACTTGACTTTGTTCTTCTTCTTCTGATTGAAATGGCTAATGTGAGTGATGATTTA